GGTGGAGAGCTGGCTGCCAGTGGCTTACTGGCTCATGGTTTGGGGCCACTGGATATGGGGCAGTGACTGCTGGCTCTGGGCTGGCAGGCTTGGAGCTGGGACAGGCACTGTGGCCAGAGTCTACCCCTTTAAGGGCTCCGGGGAGGTGGAGAGGGAGAGAAGTGTTCTTGGTTGAGGCTGGAGTGGCCACCAGGGTACCCTGGGAAGGCGGGAGGCCCCCTATTTCGAAATAAGTGTCTACAGAGCACTTATTTCGAAATAGCTATTTCGAATTTGGCATTATTCCTCCTAGAATGAGGTTTACCAAATTCTAAATAAGCTCTCCGCTATTTTGAATTAATTTTGAAATAGCGGTTTGACTGTGTAGATGCTAGGAAAGTTATTTCAAAATAAGGGCTATTATTTCGAAATAACTTTGCTGTGTAGACATATCCTCACACAGATACATGATTTTCACACAAGGATTACACTCAGTGGGAACATGGTTCTCTATTCTCTTTTTGGCCCTTCATCCACTTTTTTCTTTCCCCTTAGTACCTCATAGGCGAAGCAAGTGTGTGTGTGTGTGTGTGTGTATATATATACATACATACATACACACACACACACACACACACACACCCCTACACCACTAAAGCACTCACTACTGGACTGATCAGAACTATTCAGCTTTGTGTCATAAACCTTGTACTGTTAATAGATAATGGAGAGTTTCTTTTTGTTCAAGTGGTGTTTTGAAGCAGGAGAGTCTGGGTTTTATGCCTTTGTGACTCTGATGTTCTGGGTATCCCTGACATGCAGCATCACAACAACCAGGAAGCCCTAGGTGGCCACATTGCAACATTAACCACAACAACATTATCTAAGATGCACTTTCATTATTTAGAATGAATGGCAAAAAGAAAATCAAGCTTTGTACAATCTATTCTGAGCTGGTGCCTCAAGTGGGCAGCTTCTCCATTCCTTTTGGACCCTTTTTTGTTGCTATGCCTATACAGCTAATTTGGATTTTTTGAATGACTTCCAAATCCTCGTCTCACAGAAAAATTCAAGGGTAGGTATGAATCCGCCCAGATCAAAACTAGTCACTCCAATCCCTGCAGCATAGAACTGTCAAGCCTCCCACAGCCCTAAAAGTGGTGCCCTCTTTTCCTTACATGGCAGGAGAAGGCAGGTGACCCAATAGCACAAAATGGACTCTGATGTTTAAACTCTCAGAGTCAATGCCTGGCCTCTTCACTCAGTTTTGGCTCAGTCTTTATTTAGGAACAGAGATTGAATGGCTGATTCGAAGTGACATGCACCACCTTGAGCCCAAGGATCACCCAGTTTGAGTCGTGCCCTTTGGTAGCTTTCTAGAATGTGTGTTGTGCAGATGAGAATTGTGCTCTCTGCCTTCTGCAGGCATCCTTCAGGAAGTTTGAAAGGAAAGATGGTCCACTGGTGAGGGCACTAACCTGGGACTTGGAAATACTGTTTTAAATCCCTGCTCTACACCAGACTTCCTGCATGAGTTTGGGCAAGTCACTTAGGATATGTCTACACTACAAAGTTAATTCGAACTAACAGACGTTAGTTCGAATTAACTTTGATAGGCGCTACACATACAAACCGCTAGTTCGAACTCAATTCGAACTAGCGGTGCGCTTAATTCGAACTAGGTAAACCTCATTCTACAAGGACTAACGCCTAGTTTGAATTAAGCAGTTCAAATTAAGTGCTGTGTGGCCACTTAATTCGAACTAGTGGGAGGCTAGCCCTCCCCAGCTTTCCCTGGTGGCCACTCTGCGCACCACCAGGGAAACTCATCTGCCCCCCTCCAGGCCCCAGAGCCCTTAAAGGGGCACGGGCTGGCTACGGTGCCCGTGCAAGGTGCAAGCCTGCCAGCACCCAGCCAGCAGACCCTGCACCTGGCATGGCACGAACCAACCCCCCGTTGCCCCCCAGCCCCTCCGCCTCTTCCCGGGAACAGGCTGGCAGCTCCTGGGAGCTTGCCCGGGACTGCAAGAGGCGGGCACCCCCCTGGTCTAGTGCGGAGATCGTGGACCTCATCCACAACCTCCGCACTAGGCTCAGGAAAGTGGCCGTCTAGGGCAGGAGAGCTGCCAGCCTGGCCACCCAGGAGCAGGTTTGCATGAAAATCAGGGTGGTCCAGTGAGACCCCCAACCCCGAGCCCTGAGCTTAGAATGGCCATACTGGGTCAGACCAAAGGTCCATCTAGCCCAGTAGCCTGTCTGCCGACAGCGGCCAACACTAGGGACCCTGGAGGGGATGGACCGAAGACAATGCCCAAGCCATTTGTCTCGTGCCATCCATCCCCACCCTTCCACAAACAGAGGCCAGGGACACAATTTCTACCTCCTGGCTAATAGCACTCCATGGACCCAACCTCCATGACTTTGTAACTTCTCTTTAAACTCTGTTCTAGTTCTAGCCTTCACAGCCTCCTGCAGCAAGGAGTTCCACAGGTTGATTATTTGCTTTGTGAAGAACAACTTTCTGTTATTAGTTTGAAGCCTGCTACCCATTCATTTCATTTGGTGTCCTCTAGTCCTTCTATTATGGGAACTAATGAAGAACTTTTCTTTATGCACCCTCTCCACACCACTCATGCTTTTATAGACCTCTATCATATCCCCCCTCCGTCTCCTCTTTTCTAAGCTGAAAAGTCCCAGTCTCTTTAGCCTCTCTTCATATGGGACCTGTTCCAAACCTCTGATCATTTTAGTTGCCCTCCCCTCTCCCACCCTCTCTCTTCCCCTCTCCCACCTCCTTTTCCCAGTCTCCCCGAGTTTTGTTCAATAAAGAGAGTTTCTATTTTTGAACACACGTTTCCTTTATTTTGTACATCAGGAAGGGGGGGTTAGGGAGGGGTAAGTGGAAGGAAGTGAGGGAGAAATGGGGTACGAGCCCCCAATAGGGAGGACTGGGGTGGCTCTGCGGGCTCCTCGGGGTGGAAGCTCTCCTGCAGCCCCCCGATTGACCCTTCCCCCGGATGGCAGCCTGCAGCAACTGCAGCCGGGCTGATGGCCGACTGCTGCGATGTGCCGAGTGTGGGCACTCAGGGCACTCGACGCCAGGACTGCTTTTCAGGCGGGGACCCCCTGAGAACTGTCTGTCCGGAGTGGGGGTTGGGTCCCTTTAAGCACAGCCATCGGCTAGCCTGAGACAGCAGCTCCACTCTCTAAGTCCTCATCTGATGCCCTGCCGGCATTGCTTCCGGCCATCCTTAACCTCGGTTCAGGGTCCACTCAATGTGGACATGCTAGTTCGAATTAGCAAAATGCTAATTCGAACTAGTTTTTAGGTCTAGATGCACTAATTCGGATTAGCTTAGATCGAATTAACTAATTCGAATTAAGTTAGTTTGAATTAGTGCTGTAGTGTAGACATACCCTTAGTCTCTCTTGGCTTTGAGTCCTTATTTGTAAAGTGGGGACAATAACACTACCCTACTTCATAGAGGTATGGGGAAGATAAACACATTACAGATTCTGAGGGTATATCTACACTACCCCGCTAGTTCGAACTAGCGGGGTAATGTATGCATACCGAACTTGCTAATGAAGCCCGGGATTTGAATTTCCCGGGCTTCATTAGCATAAAGCCGGCGCCGCCATTTTTAAAAGCCGGCTAGTGCGAACCCCGTGCCGCGCGGCTACACGCGGCACGG